CCTCGCGGCGACCTACTTTCCGCCCATAGATTTGAGCGACGCGGACTACGAGCTCGGTCTGACGGATTTTGAAACTTATCACACTATATCGAATGTGAATTCCTCAAATAATAAATTTTACTACGGCACAGACGACGCGGAAATTACGATTCCCGAGGGATCGTACGAGCTGCAAGCGATACATGAATTTTTGAAACGTGCACTTTCCCGAAAACATAATGCTGTTAGCGATAAAGGTGTCGACGATGAAGATTATCCAATCGTGCTCCGCGCTAATTACAATACGATGAGAAGCGAGATCAAGTGTGCCTACAGAATAAACTTTAGCATGCCCAACAACATTGGATCGCTGCTGGGATTCTCGAATCGTATACTGCAACCGCGAAAATGGCACAAATCGAACATGGCGATTAATATTATCAACGTGAACATTATCCGCATAGAGTGTAACGTGACCGCGGGTGCATACAACAACAATAAACTCGTTCACACGATACACGAATTTTCACCGAGGGTACCACCAGGATATAAGATATCGGAAACGCCGGCGCAGATCATTTACCTGCCGGTCTTCGTACGGAGCATTACTGATTTAGTGTTACGCGTTACTGACCAGGAGGGACGATTGCTCGATTTTCGCGGTGAAGAGATAACAATTAGATTGCACGTACGACGGCGGGCCACCCTCGTGCGACGGGATGCTCGTGTTGAATAAAGACACGAAGAACACAATCAGACCAGCAGCAACATCATTCGCTAATATCAAATCAACTACGAAGAAGAGACTCACCTCGTCAAACGTTGCGTTTTTACAATCTTTGGGATTTGCGGTGCGCACCATCTGAACAATGACTGAGATTCTCAACATCGAGGAAGAGCCAGTCTTTGACGATCGCATCGTCAAGATTGAGACTCACACATACAACCCGTTTGCCAACACAACATTTGGATACAGCGACGAGATAAGAATACCCATACAACAACAGGATTTATATACATTGCCGTATGAGAGTTTCTTATATATCGAAGGAGAACTAAAGATAAACCATCCAATTGAGGGATCCAATGTGACACTGGGAAATAATTGTGTCGCATTCATGTTTGACGAAATTCGCTATGAGCTCGATGGTGTGGAGATTGATCGCAACAGAAATGTAGGAATAACAAGTTTGCTCAAAAACTATGTAACGATATCATTCAATAGAAGCATGGTTATGAGTAACGCTGGCTGGAGTGATCCGATTTCTGCGAGTGGGCACTTCAATTTCTGCGTACCGCTCTACATGTTGCTGGGATTTTGTGATGACTACAAACGAGTAGTGTTTAATGCGCGTCATGAGTTGATCTTAATACGATCGCGCAACGACAATAATTGCCTGTATGGAGATTCTGCACTGGAGCCTGTGATCAACATATTCAAGATACAATGGCGAATGTCACACGTGTTGTTGAGCGAGATTAAGAAGCTGTCGATGCTGCGCGCTCTGGAAAGCGGACGTTACCTCAGCATGGGTTTCCGCTCGTGGGATCTATACGAATTTCCGCTATTGCAGCGTACGACCAAGCATTCGTGAGCCATTAAGACCGCAACTCAACTGGAGAAGCCGCGATATGTAATTTTTGCTCTGCAGACAGGGCGTAAAAATATCATGTCCGAGGATATCAGTCGATTTGACGACTGTAAATTAACCAACGTGAAACTCTTTCTGAACTCGGAAAGTTATCCGTACGACGACATGAATCTGGATTTTGATAAAAACAGATGGTCAATTCTGTACGACACCTACACACGTTTCTGCAAGAACTATTACGGTTACGAATACCTCGAGCCCAATCTCACCATCACACGGTTTTTACAAAACGGTCCGTTTGTGATTATCGATTGTTCTCGACAAAACGAATCGATCAAGAGCGCAACGGTGGATGTGAGATTGGAATTTGAGTGTAAGGAAAACGTGCCTAATAATACCACTGCGTACTGCCTCATTATACACGATCGTGTGATCCAGTACAACCCGTTGACCAACGTTGTGCGCAAAATCACCTAAAAAATGTTTACACAAATACGCGTGTGAAAGAGGGGGAGGAGGAGGATACATAATCAAGATGATGTGAGATGTTTGATGTTAGTGAAGTAATACCTCTCGACTGACTCGCATCGAAGAGATCATGTCCGCACCAACGTTTGTCGACCTGCAAGGATTTATACTAAACAAACGATTTATCGTAAAGGAAGCGGCAATCCTGAGAAGAGGATATATCCTGTCGCACTATTTCTTCGCATGCCCTGTGCCATGGAGCGTGCTTATAAAGTCGGAAAGGCGTCAGGCCTCGTGGCTAACTCAACATCATCACAGCTTACAATGGGAGGATGGAAATGTTCCATACGGCATGGCTCAGCGCTTGATTACGGCAGCTATCGTTGGCATAAATGAGCAAGAAGACGATGAAGAGTCCTCTCTCGTGTATGTAAAAGGACTCGAAAAGCGAGAATGGCTGGCCGAAATAATGGACGATGCGAGCAGCGGTTTCACCATTGAGACCTTGGATGCCATATATGAAGATGTACCTGCATTAAATAAGTTAGATCCCACATATACTCTACGATGTAATAAACATGTAAAAAATTGCGCGTTACAAAATGTATTTAAATTATTCAATTGGTGGTCGGCCGCAAAATCCAGGCTTGGATCCGACGATCATCCGTTTTTTGAATAAACATATTGTTTACATACTATTTTCTTTGTTATTTCTCTCCTTCACCAGATATATATTTCTAAGAAATCCTTTCTCCTAATATTTTTAAATATTTCTCTTTGTTCCCCTCCAGATATATATTTCTAGGAATTCCTTTCTCCTAATATTTAATTTTTTATCCCCACTACTTTTAAATATTTCTCTTTATTCCCCCTCCAGATATATATTTCTAGGAATCCCCTTCTCCTAATATTTTAAAAATGAGTGTTACTCGATTATTAGTACTTTTATACGATCAGTCTCTCGTCGACTGTTCTGACTGGTGGTTCACTTTTTAATACCCTCGAGAAAAATATTCTGCACCAAAAAAGCAGCAGCATGAATTACTACATGCCGAGACGCGATGAAACGTGCGAGAAGAAATGCGACGAGTAAGTATAACTTTTTCTATTTTATATATTTTATATTTTTTCTATTTTTATATTTTTTTATGAGTTATAATTTCTTTTTTTCCTAATTTAGTTTTAATTTTTTTTCCTAATTTTTTTACAGCGTTTCGCTGGAGTCTCGTGCGGTTCGTATACTTGGAAGACGATACGCATTGACGACCACGGAATTCAAATTCCTCGAAATCGGCATCAGAGTGGATCCGCCGAGTTACGTGGAGATCGCCATAGGAGATCATCGGGGAAAACAGCTAATACTATCTCTCGAAACGTGGAAAGGACTCTACGAGCAACGTCACGCTATTCAAAATTATTTGAACAATGACTCTCCCAACAACGATGTGTATAACTTCATAAGTGTCGGGCCGCTAACAGTACGTTTTCACAAGATAAACGACACCAAGCTCATAAGTCTCGAATCGGCGGACGTGCGCATGATGATGGTCGAATCGACGTTACGTCGTATGTTCGAGCTCGATTCATGCATCGAAATAATGTTCGATCGATTGACGAGGCTCATCGCAACGGTCGATATCAAACATACGCAATTCTCCAATATTGCATCCACTGTAACGAATGCGAGAGAATTGCCGAATGCGATACGCGCTAGCAACGCCTTCGACATGCACCAACTTGTCGATTGCGAGCTGGTGGCTTTAGTTTTTAATATGTAATAAAACTTTATATAATTATGTATTAAATATAAGACAAATAAATACTTATATGTATATCATGGTGTACTTTATTTGCGCGCCACCCGTTACATACTTTGCGAGAGAGCAACCACTAGAAAAGAAAGAAACAGCGCGAGAGAGAGACGGCGAATTAAGACGCGAGAGAGAGAAAGAAGACGGGCTGCAGCGAGAGACGTACGCGAGAGAGAAAAAGAGACATACGAGTTTTGAGAGAGACGTCGAAATAAGACGCGAGAGAAATGTGAAGGAGAGAGAGAGAAAAAGAGACATACGAGTTTTGAGAGAGACGGCAAAATAAGACGCGAGAGAGAGAAAGAAGACGGGCTGCAGCGAGAGACGTACGCGAGAGAGAGAAAGAAGACGGGCTGCAGCGAGAGACGTACGCGAGAGAGAAAAAGAGACATACGAGTTTTGAGAGAGACGGCAAAATAAGACGCGAGAGAGAGAGAAATGTGAAGGAGAGAGAGAGAAAAAGAGAGAGCTTTTAAAATAATTTTTAATAATTTCTTTATATTTACTTATAATTTAAAAGGGAACAAGAGGTAAGGAAGACATTTTAATCTAAAATAAATACACTCATTTGATAATAATATTTTTTTTAATCTATAAAATATGTGTACATTTACATTTGTGTGTGTGTAAAATTAAAAATGAAAAAAATATAAAAATAAAAAATTAAAAAATATAAAAATAGAAAATAGAAAAATATAAAATATAAAATATATAAAAATAAGGATATAAATGAAAAATAAAAAAATAAAATAGTTTACATTATGGACGATTGGGGTGGCGACGGTGACGGTGGCGGTGATTGCGGCGGTGATTGCGGCGGTGACGGCGGCGGTGACGGCGACGGCGTGGCGGCGGTGTAGGCTGAGGCCTAACATCGTACGGGTCTGGTAGAGTGAAAAGCTGCACCAGACCCCAATCAGCTTCGTCGTCGCCTCTTAAATATGCGTCCCAATCCGACATCTCTGGAACCATTATTGGAACGTATGGTTCATCTGTAAACATAACAATTATTAATTTAAAAATATAACAATTATTAATTTAAATATATAATACAATATTATAAATTTTATTCTTACCGTCCCAATTTTCATACACAGGTACAGGTTCCGGCTCGAACAGCCACACCAGACCCCAATCATAGAAATCGCCGTCTCTTATATATGGATCCCAATCCCAATCACACATATCTGGAACCATTATTGAAATGTAAACATAACATTATTCATTTAAAAATATAATACAATATTATAAATTTTATTCTTACCGTCCCATTCGTCATCCCCTATCCATTCTTCAAAGTCGTCATCTGAATAATTTTCCCATTCTGCATCCCTTAATATATCATAAACGAGGTCCTTGATCACCCAACAACAACAAATAATACAGAGGGCAAACTACAAAAAAAATATTAATATTAATATATTTTTTCCTCCACTATTAATTAATATTTTTGCACTTAAAAAGCACTACCATTTTCGTTGCAATGTCCCGACACTTCGTTGAGGACCGTTCAAAACTTTATGATTGCAGAGACAGCCCTGCTCTCCACAGGCTGTACCCCACTTAAAAAATCTTCACAAAGAACTATATCTATTTCAAAAAACATTCCAAGTGTCGAATGTTTACATCTCACGTTCGAGAGAGCCGGCGGGTCGCATCCATGCGAGGGACACGTGGAGAGGCGCGCGCTCTTCCATGCATATGCGAGAGAGAAAACGAGCCGCAGCGGCGACAGCGCGAGAGAGAGACGGCAAAATAAGACGCGAGAGAGAGAAAAAGAGACATACGAGTTTTGAGAGAGACGGCGAAATAAGATGCGAGAGAGACGTGAAGGAGAGAGAGCTTTTAAAGATAATTTTTAATAATTTTTTTATATTTTCCTAATATTTAAAAGGGAACAAAAGGTAAGGAGGACATTTTAATCTAAAATAAATACACTCATTTGATAATAATATTTTTTTTAATCTATAAAATATGTGTAAATTTACAAAATTTGTGTGTGTGTGTGTGTGTGTAATTATTTATAATATAAAATTTATAAAATTATAAAAAGATACAAATATAAAAAAGATATATGAAATCAAAATTATATAAAATAAACATATAAATAATATATAAAATTATTTAAAATTATATAAAATATATATATAAAAAAAAGGCCGTCGGAGGCGAGAGAAATTCGGCTCGGGCCTGTGGCGAGAGAGAGCTGGCGGCTCGAGGTAGCGGCGAGAGAGAGCCAGCGGGCCTGCTGCGACTGCGAGAGAGGGGGTCGCGTTAACCATCTCTGTCAGACTGTGCCTCGGCATCTGCACATAGAAATATAATAAATTATTATACTATTTTATAGATTTTTTTGGTATTTTAATATATATATACTTACAGCCTTGACAGATTGGGCACAAGTTGGCCAGGAAGAGTACGAACACTCTTTCTAAACAATCGATGCAATAAAGATGCGGTACATCCCTGTACCGCATCGTCACGTGCCTGTGCGTTAGTGTAGTTGCTGCGAATCTTTCCCTGTTTCTCATGAAACAGGGAATGCAGATTTTCACTGACCCTCCTGGTGAGACGTATGCTGTTATAACGCATACCCATGTATCTTCGTCGAGGGATGCAACTGCTCGTACATCTAACGTACGCGAGTGACACGACTCCCGAACAGCGTTTTCGCTTTCGTACCCATCGTCATGCAAATCTTCTTCCTCCTCTTCTTCTTCTGCTTCTTCTTGCTCAACAATGGGTATGACATCACCCTCCATTTCTTCTATATCATCTAAGATGATATTCACCTCCCTGTCGTACACAGGGTCGTACATCTCGGCGTCGCTCTCGCTGTCGCTGTCGGAGATCGTGATGACCTCCATCTCGTCATCAGAAACGTTGATCGCAATGTCTTTTTCCATTTTTTTTTCCACACGCGTTTGCACAATTATGATATAAGTCAATGAATTTTTTCCGCACTTCCGTAAATAAGTATAGCCACTAGACTTTTTTTCACGGACTGGTCAGGGTGCTGTCAAATCCTGGACTGAATGATTTTTGAGAGCGCATAGGTCCTCAATATATATCTCGTTCAGCCCTTTGTGCTTCACATGCGATCGAACTTATCTCAGAAAGAAAGATGATCGGTCATAAAAGAGCAGCCGCTGCAGCAGTTGATTATTGTTTTGTTTACACCTCGTGAAAATATGTCTTGACACATTTACTACAATCCTCTCTTTCACGCGTGATAAAACTTATCTCATAAACACTGCTATACTCTTCGCATATATTGTACACCTATTTAATCACAGAAAAGATAAATAGGCTGCCGACAAGAAATCTGGCGATGATGATGATGATGACGGTTCTCTCCTATCTGACTCCTCTATTTCTTGGTCCGAATCATAATCAGATGATTGTGTTTTGCATGATACCGATGGTGAAGGCATATCCATGTCGGCAAAATAAAGGTTGTCCACAGTAAAATATTCTGCGCAATTTTTGTAGCGACGCTGATAGCATGCGACTCGCTTGTGTCGTTTAGACGATCTGGTGCATTTGGATAACCCACCAGTCACTCTTAAAATGTCTTCGTGAATTTCTAGGAAATCGGCAACATCTCTTGTATGCGGTTTTTGCACACCAAGTTCGCGATTTCTTACGAATTGCACAACCGAAGTCACCGCTTCACGTTTAAAATGAAACGGGTCATCTTTTTTTTCATCATAATAGCATTCATCGAGATGTCTATATCATCTCTCAACATTCTCAAAACACCTCGAATGATCTTTTTTTACCGCGTTCTCCATTTTTGTAAAAATTCACTTGTACTGTACAGAAAAAACTACTTTAATTGCACACTAAACTTTTTTCTCACAGCTATTTTTCCTTGAGGAAAGCGTGCGCTCGCCAGTGGTACTATGGCCCGGCAGCGGCATCGGTCCTCATTATATATCCCAATCAACCCTTTGTTCGTCAACGTACGAACGAGAAAAATTTAGATGACGTAAATTTTCGGCGCTTGTTTTGTTTATAAATTCCTGCAGCCGCTGGTTATCGGCGCTGGTATTTCTTAGAAATATACGTATAGATCATGTATCAACCCCCTTGATTGTCGGCGTATGCCAAGCGGTGGCCCTTCTTAAAATTTGATTATCTTAGATTTTCAGAGAACTGATTGTCGGCGCTCGGATCCAAGCGGTCCTTCTTAGAATTTAATTATATTTCTTAGAAATATACAGATAACGTATGGGGGAAGAAACGCAACCCCCTTGATTGTCGGCGCATGCCAAGCGGTGGCCCTTCTTAGAATTTGATTATATTTCTTAGAAATATACAGATAACGTATGAGGAGAAGAAACGCAACCCCCCCCCCCCGATTGTCGGCAGCCCTTTTGTAATAGATATTGTTTATCTTTTGTTTATAAACATAAACGTATGAAGAGAAGAAACGCAACCCCCCCCCCCCGATTGTCGGCAGCCCTTTGTAATAGATATTGTTTATCTTTTGTTTATAAACATAGATAAGTTTATCTGCTGATAAGACCCCCCGCCCGCGTGACGTCATACCCCCTTGCCCCCGAAAACCCCCCCGCCCCGCACCCCCCTCAGAGGACCCGGGTTAGAACCCCCATACTATTCCTACTGACCTAGCGACGGTTGAACAGGTGTTCGTGCGACACGAGGGACCGAAAAAGATGTTGCAGGCGCCGTACGAGGGGCCGTACGCAGTCATCAGCCGAGACGACAAAGTCTTTGTCGTGCGTATGCACGGCAAAGAGAAAACGGTCTCAATAGACCGTCTTAAACCGGCTTATATTTTATAGAGCGAGCCAGAAAACAACAGCCCGGCAGAGTCGACGGCACGAGACCGGGACACCGAGGTCGAGCAGCGAAGCGCGCGAGAGGACGTGAGGCTGCTGCCCCGAGAGAGCGAGAGAACGACGAGAGCGGGAAGAAAGGTCCGATTCCCGAGTCGATTCCAGGCGGGCCTGTAGCACCGGGGAGCCAGGATGTGCAGCAAACCCGTGAGAAATCACCGCAATCATCACGAAAATAATAAAAAAATTTAAGTATACGGGTCGCGATTCTTTTTTTTTTTTTTTTTTACAAGTATTCGCTATTTCAAATTTCTTTGATTTGTGTTATCGTCGAAAATTTATGTATACACGGCAACAGCGACATAAGCCGCGAAACGCGAAAAGAAAAATTTGACGCGTATCGAGAACTTGTATATTCTGCGTTTTATATTTATTCTTTTAATTTAAATGGACGAGTCTCAGACCGAGAGCGACGGGCGACAGAATAACGTTTTATATTTATTCTTTTAATTTAAATGGACGAGTCTCAGACCGAGAGCGACGGGCGACAGAATAACGTTAAGTACAGCGAAAATTCTTCACGTATAGGTTGTCGGTATTTATTAGCATTTATTTATTACATTATTGTTATTTATTATTATTTATTTATTATTTATTTTTTGTTACGTCATATTTATTCTCGACTTGGCGCTCGAATTTATAACGGCGAGCAAATGGTAACATTCGTCTCGGTCTGCCATCGAAAAACTTTTGCGAAAACAGTGCATCACGCAAACGTATCGTGCTATCGGTATAGCACTGGCGGGGGAGTACTGTGGCGATTATATCGTCACATGCTTCCCCAAAAATCGAAAGCGAAAACACGTATATAAATACGGACATATACACATACGAACACTCACAAATAAACATAAATAAAATATAACAGACGAGACGAAAGACGAAAAACATCGAGACGTAACAGAAAGGAAATAAACGAATAGAACATTTTCGAAGCCTATCAAAGGTGAATTTTTTTAAGACGAACGAAGAGCGATAGGAAGAGCGTTTTACATGCTAGGAGATTCCGCTACCGACAGTCGCCGCGTACAGTTGCACGTTATAGATCCGCACGATTTTTATATATTTCTGTACCGAGATGGAAAGATTGTTCTCAGAATATATTTGGTGTTAACTGTAAATACTCTCTCACAATTATTTTAATTCCCGTCTCGTATCGAAGCGTCTAAGTAATTCGACGCGCGTATAACCAAAATATTATTCATCGAATATGCAAGCAATCAAGATATATAGAGGAGAAGGTACGAATGAAGCATGTCAAGTTTTTGAGATATAATAATTTAAAAATGCGAAAAAGGGCATTTTTTTACATTTTTTAGTAAGATATTGTATAACTTTTAATTGGGATGTGATACAAATTTCTTCGACGGCTTAAAATAAAGCTTGAGACTGTAGTTTATGTAACAAATATGAAAAAGTTCGAATCTATAGAGTTTATAAAAAAATTAACCATACCTCAAAAGATTCTTTATATTGGTATAAGAAAAAGTAGAAAAATAATATTTTCATGTTATGATTTACTTTTTTTATAAATTCTTTAGATTCGATTTTTTTCATACTTGTTACATGAACTACAAATAGTAACTACCAATATATTAGCACGGGCTACATGTGTACCTTCTTTATATAACTTAATTGCTTGCATATTCGATGAATGACATAGCTATTCGAAAGAAGAATTTTTTTATTTACTTTTGACGGTTTCCCCAGCGTCAAAAAAAAAAAAAAAAAAGGTGGACCATTTTAATCAATCCTTTATTCTTTATCATTGCGTGGATTGATTAAATGGTCCACCCTGTATATCTTGATTGCTTGTATATTCTATGAATGATATAGCTATTATATTTTTATTTATTTTTGGAGTGGCGTCATAATAA